TTTTGATAAAATTTTGATGAATTTAACTTGGCGCCAATTTTGTTGATATCAATTATACGAATATGATACATATCATTAAAGTTAAATAAATTATTTTTTCTTTAGGTGGAATAAAATGGTAAAATTTAATTTGTTCGAATTACATTGAATTTAACTTGGCGCCAATTGTTGATATCAAATCTTTTATACAAATGATACATATCATTAGTTCTACTAAACAGCAAATGTGATTAGTTATCAGTTTCACGGCCGATTAAGTAATTGGCGTTGGTGAAACTGGCTCAAATGGTGATTCTTTACGAGAAGCACCATTTGGGCCAGTTTCACCAACGCTTAGAACTTTTTTTACCTTTTTTTTTAAAAGGTAAGTTTGTATATAATTTTAAAATTCCATACAGAAAATCTTTTATACACATGATACATATCATTAGAGTTAAGTAAATAATAAAAAAAAGATTGGGTTTTACTTTTTAATTTGGTAGACTTTAGTTAATTTGATAATCAATTATACGAATGTGATACATATCATTAGAGTTAAATAAATTATTTTTTCTTTGAGAGAAATAAAATGGTAAAATTTAATTTGTTCGAATTACATTGAATTTAATTTGGCGCCAATTGTTGATATTAAATCTTTTATACAAATTGTATTGTACCACAATCACCATATTTTCAGGGTAAATTTTAAAAGAAAATTCTTTCCGTGTAGAAATCTTTCTCGTAAAAAAATCATGTGATGCTCTTAAAAGAAAAAATTGCATGATAATATCACAGAAATTTAATTATTATATTAAATTCTTTTGTTTGTATGACAATAGACTTACAAATAGTGACAAATACATAGATATCACTAAAATGTGAACTCCTTCGCTTGAATATGTTGCGTGTATAGGAATCAATATTAGAATGTCGCTATTCTCTTCGAAAGATAGAAGATAACGAAATGAAATATGTATATTATACAGCAACGACAAATATATCAAGATATTGTCGAGGTTCGCATCTCATATTCTATTGATGAATCTTTGAAGAATTTTTTCCTCCCTTTGCTATGTTATAATTTTGTTTTTGATGTAGCATCAAGAATATTACTTCTATATATGATAGAATTTATGTAAAAATGAATTATCCTATTATCTTAAAATACGGAAACATTAAAGACAATTACTACAAAGATATTCTGGGGTACAGATGTTAAATATGCATAAGTAGAAAATATCAATGATGAAAAATTTTACCGTCGGAAAGAATATAGTGTCATAAGTCTATAGACATTCTACAGTGTACTCTTCAGCACTATAACATTTCTGCATCTTATTTATCATACAATAGAGATTCTTACTGTATCTTACTTCTCATATATATATATATACAATAGAGATCAAGTTAAAATTATCTCGAGAGCAATGAATATTGTCCAAACATTTTCATAATTACTAACAAAGTTAATGACACGCATTATATAACTGATTTTGTTATACTTTTTGTTATACATTCCTCTTTTGCTTTTATTTTCTTCCCTTACGCAATTAAATTTCGTACAATGAATATTCTGAAATTGACATATTCAACCGTTATAATATCTGGATGTTTTCGACCGCAGTCGTGGACATCTTTATTTAAAAAGACAGTTTATAATATCTATAGATTGTACGTAATTGCTATGTTATATACGTTTACAATATTGCAATTTATTGACATTGTTTTATATGTCGACAATGCTAATGATTTCACAAACAATCTAAATATGATGCTAACTATATTAGCTTCATGCTACAAAATATTTATTTTGAGTATAAATTATGAGAATTTTGTAACGCTGGTTAATTATCTTACTGAAGAGCCGTTTAAACCATTAAATTCGGATGAGATGAAAATTCTACGACAATATAATAAAATAATACGGTAAATATTTTAATTAAATAATTTTTAATCTGTTTAATTTAATTTTTTAAATATTATTTCATTCATATATAACTATTTTAGTTATTATTTTATAATATTTTTATGTACAGACATGAATATATATAAGTATTTTTAATGTAGATTTTAGATGTAACTTGATTTAAAAAGTTATTTGTTGATAACTAGAATTATTAAAAATTTGCACATAAACATTTATGTATTATTCAATGATAAAAATTTTTTTTTTCCATAAGAAAATAAGGTTAATTAGCAATATTATTGCCAAATAACAACATATTCTTTGTTACAAAAAATAAAATTAAAATTTTTTCAAATCTTTCATATTTCAAATATTTTATAGTTCGCATTAGAAATAATATAGATGTAACAATTTAATCACTTTTCAGAAACAACACATTACGATACATAATATTAGTAGCGATAACATGTACGTTTGTCATTTTGTCTTCGCTATTTACTGACTTTAGACACAAGAAATTAAAGTACAGGGAATGGATACCATTTGATTATTCATCTCATGTGGTATTTTGTTTTGCATACGCTCAACAAATGGTAACCGCATGTCATAGCGCCCTCGTAAATGTCGCAATAGATAGTCTCATATGCGGATTCTTGATACACATATGTTGTCAAATTGAGATCTTGGAATATCGCCTAAAAAAATTTTTGGACAACCAATTTATTCTGAGTTATTGCATATGCCATCATAATCGAATTTTTGAGTTAGTTATCATTTAAATGCCGGAAAATTATATATCATTCAGCATTGCTACTATGTGTGAGTTATTTAACAAAACTGTGGTGGAAATTATATATCTTCTTAATTTCTATTTTTATTGATTATAAAGAAAAATTTTAAAAATTCTATACATTTTTGAAATAGCTAATAATAGCATTGCAAAATCATCAAAATATATTTTACTATTTATTCTGTGTACTATTCATATTGTTTTAAATATAATTGTCTACTGTAATTATTTATTGCATACTGATTTCTACCATGCTTTTATCACGAGTTTAGTATATGGACATTTTTATTTGAGAGATTACTTTATTAATACTTTAATTAATTCTCATATATATGTCATGAATTAGTTCACAATTCTTGGTATTCCAATCATAATTATTACAATAATATTGATCCTTTTTTATACCTTTTAAACTACTTATAGACTCTTTAAATTATTATTTGCTTGATATATATAAATATTATGACTTTATGTAAACAAAATCTTCATTGCAGGTTTGCGCAGATAGTGAATATAAAATTTACCAAAATAATCGGATTTCAATTTATGGCGAGTATGATGATATTTTGCTCAAATTTGTATCAACTGACTAAATCAACTTTAAACGCGGATCATTTTTCGTTAATTCTATACACAGGCTGTATGTTAACGCAGATATTTATTTATTGCTGGTTTGGAAACAAAGTCAAATTAAAGGTAGACCTAAAACAGGTTATTAGAAACAATAAATATATAATTATATTACATATTTTATTCCACAGAGTCTTCAATTACTAGATAGTATTTTTCAAATGGAGTGGCCAGTCGTGGACAATAGTGTACAAAAGAGCTTATTAATAATTATGAAACGTGCAATGATACCCATTGAAATTTCTACTGTATATGTCCTGACCATGAATCTGGATTCCTTTGTAACGGTCAGTATAAACATTTACCTTAATGTATAAAATATAATTTGCCTAAATAATTTTAAAGTTTTATTGCTGCTTATAACAGTGCACCGTACAATATATTTAATTATCAATAAATAAAACCTATCACTTTTATAAATTTGTTTGTATAAATTATTATTGACCTATATATAAGTATTATTGTATTTGTTAATTAGAAGTATCTTTTATTATTTCAGTTGCTTAAAACCTCATATTCTGTTTATAATTTACTAACGCAAGTGCAATAAAAATAAAAATAAAAAATTAAGCAAAATGAAGTGTATTTTAGATTAAGTTGCACATAAGAATTATAAATAAATTATAATAAGATTGTAATAATTCTAATACTTATTCTATTCATTAGGAATAGTTGTAAAGAAATACATATATATGTATACAGTATCGTCTGTTATATTATATTTTGAAAGTATTTTTATATGTATAATTTACCGAAAAAAATATATAAATGTTACAAAATTTTAATTTGATATTTGATATATACAATTTTTAATCCATTTATATGTATATTATCATAATCAGAGGAAAAAATGTAATACCTTTTATAAAAAGCATTCATATATCATTAATTTTATTATATATAGATAAAACTTGTTTTAAATCTGCCCACTTTTCCTCATGGATAAAGTGAGATAGATGTTGAATGTTTATCTAAATAATGAAAATTTTTATTTCGAACAAATTAAGGGTAAAGAAAACGGAATTATTGTAAATTTTCATATATAATGAATGTTTCGATATATTTATTTCAACTTAGTATTTATTATAACATCAGTTTTAATTAGATTTGGAAATTTTAGATGTAGCATAACACTTGGTCCGACGCTAAGCAACAACCAAACGCAACCATGCTGTCTATTGTCAAAAAATCGTATCACATGCCTATAGACGTTCCTAAGTGAACTCTTGAAATTATGTTCCTGCCTTCACTTCTCGTGGAATATAGAATCTATCAAGTTAAAGTTATCTTAAAAAAAATAAGTATTGTTTAAAAATTGTCAAAGTTACTCATAAAAGAGCTCGTAACATACATTATACAAACAAACTCTTTTATACAAACTGTTTTATACAAGTATTTTTTTTATTTGAACAAAGATAAAAATGTATATCTTAAAGTTGACATTTTTTATCGTTACGTTTGTTGGGTGCTTTCAACCGTTATCGTGGACATCGCTATTTATGCGTGTTATTTACAATCTCTACAGACTATTTATAATTACCATTTTATATATTTTTGCTTTTTTACAATTTATGGGCATTATGATAAACGTTGATAATCCTGACGACTTTAACGTTTTACATATAACGTTAAATGTGTCCGTTTCTGGTTTTAAATTACTGATAATGTGACTAAATTATAACAATGTTACAACATTAATTACTGCACTTAATGAAGAACTATTTAAACCGTTAGATCCAAGCGAATTGAAAATTCATCAAAAATTTGATAAAATAATACGGTAAATATTTATACATTTATATATATCTACTATTTATGTATACCAACCTTTATTTAACAATTGTTTTCTTTTGGATATCAACTTCTAAGTCTAACACATTACTCAGTTCTGATTGCGTCATCATGGACATTCATAAGTTCGGTGTCGTTGTTTACAGACTTTAAACACAGAAAGTTAACATATACAGAATGGGTACTGTACGATTATTCGTTCTACATGATGTTTTGCGTTACGTATGTTCACCAAATTCTGCACTGAGAAAAATGATCTGGTTGGATTAAACAGTAATTCTGGTGGAAAATGGACGAATCAGAATTTTCTGGTTATGTCTATTAGAATTCTAGTTAAGATAACTAGAATTCTGATTAATATAATTATTCTGGTAAAAATAAGAATTCTAGTAGATTTTACCAGAAATATAGTATCAACCAGGTCAAATTTCGGTTTTCTCAACTAGAATTCTAATAAATTTAACCAGAAATTTCTGATTCGTCCATTTTCAACCAGAAAATTTTTTCAGTGTGAGCACGTTTTATTGTGCTAGCGTGAATGTCGCCTGCGATACCTTCATATGTGGTATCTTAATGCATGTATATTGTCAGATTGAAATCTTAGAATATTGCTTGAAGAAGATATTAAGCGATCAAAGCATTTTGAACTACTGCCATCATAACAGTATATTTCAGTTAGTCATCCTAATAATATTTTTCAAAAACCGTTATACATAATTCAGGATTTCTGTGATATTAATTTACACCGAAAAAATTGTATACTTGAAACATGTACTTAATATTTCCTCTTAACAAATATAATATTTTCTCTTAAATTAATAATGTATTCTTGATTTGTGAAGGCGATTATCGCTACACGTGCGCTTCACACGGTTTTTGATAATGTCCCCCTTAAAATCATGCAACCTTTGTCGGAAACATTTTTTCTAAAATATATTGTTCAAAAGATATTTGAGATCGTCATTTAAAATAAGACATTCTGTACGTTCTTATATTTTAAGAATATGATATATATAATTTAGATGATTTTCTTCTTAAATTAAGAGGATAGTACAACATAAATATTAACAGGGCATAGAACCAATATTTTAACAAACAATTATAATTAGAATAATAACATTACATACGTTTCGACTCCGATCGGGTCATTTTTAATGTAAAAACAAAAATTAACTTAGAGATCCGGTAACATTAATAAAATCCTTCAAATTACATTGTTGTGTTTGTGTTTACATTGAAAATGACCCGATCGGAGTCGAAATGTAATGTTACTATTCTAATTATAATTGTTTGTTAAAATATTAGTTCTATGTCCTGTTAATATTTATATTGTTTTATATATATTGAACCTTATTATTATTTTATTTTAAGAGGATAGTTTTGGTGCTTATTTTTAGAGGAAAAAACATACTATACATAAGTGGGATATTCTTAAGTTGAGAATACAATTTTTTCGGTGATAATTTCATGACTTAATTACTGCATTAAGAAGAACAACGATATATATTAAATTTTCTTATCTACGACCGTTAAAAAATCACAAATTTTAAGTCAAGATAATTAAATAGTATAACTTATTCTTATTTTCTCTTTTATATTTAAGTAATTCATATATATTTATTTTTATTATTATGTTGTTAAAGTTAAATATCTTTCTAAATATCTTATATTTAATTTATATTCTGTCTTAGCATTCTATCTTAAAAGCCTGTTTTAACATTAAAAAAAAGTGTAATTATGCAAAAGACAGGCTTATTCATTGATTTTGATGAAACTAAGGTCATTCGATGCATTTTTCCACGAAACTTTACCTCAATAGTCATCAACTTTAACTATTAATATCTCACTTCGCCGGGTAGAGCGACACTTATTTTTCTGCCAGATTCGTTCATTTTGTGTAAATGCGTGTCAAATCGCTCTAATTAAGATCAGTGAGTAGACCCATCTTCTGCATAATTAGAAAAAAAGTAACGAAAAGTAACGATTTTTAGCGGTAACGCGTTACTTTTTAGAATCGGCAACGAGTAACGGTAACGGTACTTTTTACCGCAAATAACGGTAACGGTAACGCGTTACTTTTAAAAAGTAACTTCCATAGTATAGAAAAATCTTACATCATTATTTAAAAATTTATTATTTCTAATAAATAAAGAGAACAATTTTTTATGTTTACAGTATTAAAATTTTAACTTTATTAGAATTTGTATCAATATCTTTATTAATACAAATTTCTCATACATAGTATAAAACATTTCGTATTTGTATTGAAAATATGGACTATTATTTAAATAGTTTATTTAAAAAACATATAGTCACTATTAAATTATTTGAATAACATATAATCACATTACATTAAATTAACATATTCCAGTGTTAAGTTATTGTAATTTAATATAATGTGATTATATGTTATTCAAATAATTTAATAGTGACTATGTTTTTTAAATAAACCATTTAAATAATAGTTAATTATCGACATTCAACATTTCTTAGTATCAAAATAATACAAATTGTGAATAAGTAAACAAATAACATAAAAATATATGTATGCTGGAAAATGTATATTCTAAGATATATAAATGATTATAGTATGTGTCAATTTAACATATCATAAATATTAATTTCATTTAAAAAATATGTTTTCACTATTGTTTATAATCTTATGTCAGAATTACCTTTTTTATGTTTCTTCTTAAATAATATTTGTGTTACCTTCTAACACATATATTCATCTTATGTTAAATTAATACATAAAAATTTGAGCGAAACTTTTGGGACGTGTGAAATATGTTATATTTAGTCTGCGGTATAAAGCATATATTTACTTGGGTCCATTCGTCTACGTAAGATGGGTTAATCAACCCTGCTGCAAATTCCCATGGGTTTTTTCGCGGGTTCCTATAGATGACTATAAGATTCTATAGGAGCTTGTGTAGTTACCAATAGGTATACGTAGGACATCCATAGGAATGCAATAGG